AATAAATTTTGAAAAGCTTTAAACTTGTGTTTTTTATAAACTTCTTTTTTACTCATTTTTTTCTATTTTTAAAAGCAACTTTTAAATTTTTTATTTAATAAAAATTTAAATTTATCATTCATAATTAGTACAAAAAATAAAAAATTTTACAAACTTCACCAAACATGCTCGCAATTTAATTGGCCCAAAATGCCCAGATCTTGTGCTCCGGTGCTGTGGTCGAGCCCAATTCAGGCCTACACCTGGGTTTCTTAATCTTCCTAATGTTGGGCCTGAGTTAATAAATGCCCAACCTGATCCTTTCTCAGTCAATTCAGGCGCAATACAGGGCACTGACTCGTTGGAGGTGCAGAGCTGCTTCATCCCTTTATCCACAAAGAATATGGTGTTTCTGTACTTCGACGTAGGACCATACTCATCAAGGTTCTAAATTGCATTACACAGAATCCACTCTTCTACCATATGCCATTACTTCAGTCTTAGTTTTATCCATGGAGGTTGCAAGGAATTTGCTCTCTTCCCCCTCATCCTTTCCAACAAGAACACACCTCAAGAATTCTGTCCCTCCTCCTTCTTCGGGTAATGCTATTTCTTCTAGTGCTTTGTTTTTATGATGGTTTCTTAGTCCAAGTTACTTTTGGAACAACACCCATTTAAGTTTGTTGTTGTTAATCTACTGGGTCAATGCAAATGAAAATTGTGTGCACGAAGTGTTTGTTGTTTGGCCTGTTTGAATTAATTTGCCAAATATTTAGAACCATTTTGTTCTTTTTTATGTTTGTTGTAATCTCTATTGATATAGAGGTATAGGAGAGCTTCGACGGGACTCTTTTTTTTTTTTTTTTAAATTATTGACTTTTAAGTTTATCATCAATCTTGACATTTATTTATAGCTGTAGACTAAAATGAGGGATACAATTCTATTTTTGAAGATATATATTTGAAGATGTAGTGGGGTTCTGTTTGTTCTTTGGCTTTTATTTTCTCGGAGATTAAGTTAAAACGATCATCTTGTTAATGACATTATTATGCATTATTTTGCAGTTTTGATGCTTCATGAGCAAGCAGCTTCTACAGTTACTTCTATTCCAATTACTTCTGTTACTAGGCTTTTTCCTACTTCAGTTCTTTTACAAGAGCAACGTGATGAATGTAGGCCCCTTCTGCACAATTTCAAGGATGACAAAGTACCTCAGGTTCGGTTCTTGTATTAGGCATGAATGATGCATGGTGCATCATGCGCCACATAGAAGCTATAGAATGGCATTTTGCTTGTGTGCACGAGTTCTAGTCAATTAATTGATACAGTTGTCTTACAATTTGTATAGTTTTTCTGCTCTGCTTGAGTTGTGTCTTGTGTGGCTACTACCCATTTATGGATCACCTTTAATCCATTACAGGGAGTAATAGACAGGAGGCAGCAGTTAGAGACTGGGGCATCTGCCCCTGATGAAAGTGCCTTTGGGGATCTTGGTCAGTCAGGTCAAATATTTGAACAGCAGTTGCTTTGGTGGTCAGATTTACAGCACTTGTGAGTGAACAAAAATCTCATTCCATTCCATCCACTTTGTTTTCTTTAATGGGATCGTCTTTATGCATTGCTTTAACTTTTTTAATTGTAGGCTTGCGTTAACGGAGGAAAATGAAGATCCATTATCATTTTTTACCATGGAGTCTGTTGTGGCTGGTACCAAGACTTCTATGGACGTTGAACCATTTGATGCAGTGGCCCTTGCTAGGAGGGCCTTGTCAGCATCTAAAGAAGCAGTCTCATTAGCCAACAATGTCAAATTATGTGGACTTGAACCTGACGATTCACTTCCTACCAGGTTAGGTTCTTGTCAAACACCTTGTGTCCTTTAGTATCACAAGTAAATCAGTTTGGAGACTAATATGAATTGATTTTGCAGTTTAGGGTCTAATAGTTTGTCTAAATTATCACTTGAAGAGGAGGAAGCAATCGCAGTTAGATCAACACGGCTTTTAGAGAGGCAATCTAAGAAGAGGAGGGTGCCAAAACTGAATGTTCATGTTCAAGAGACGTCCAGTTCACGAAGGGTTGATGTAAAAAGAAAGTTAAGTGGAGATTTTAATTCCAGTGATCTACTTAGATTGTTCTTGCGGGGTCCTGAAACAAGACAACTTTTGACTGTTAAAGAAGAGTCTGAACTCATTGTTCAAGTACAGGTGTATTTCTCAGTCTCACTTGTAGTTCTAAAATGCATGAAAATAGGGAATGTGTTGTTTCAGAAAGGTTTTACTCTTTTGAAACAGGAACTGATGAGGTTAAAGAAAGTGAAGAGTAAGCTTCAATCTCAGTTTGAACGTGAACCAACAGTGGTTGAATGGGCTGAAGCTGTAGGACTGAGTTCTCAGGTCTTGCAGTCTGAACTTCTTTCTGGCAATAGAAGCTGGGAAAAACTAATTAATGCAAATTTACGTTTGGTGGTTCACATTGCTAAAAAATACCAGGGCCATGGTTTAGGCCTTCAGGATCTGCTGCAGGTTGGTTATTTTTTCTCTCATCTCAGTTCACTCATGCGATATTAAATTTTATCACATGTAAATCTTGGTGTTTAGCTGGTTATTTGGTGTCACTATCAATAAAGCAGTGAAGAACAATGGGTTATGGGTTGAACTAAGGTTGGGGGGAGGGGGGGTTGAGTTGATACTGGCACTGAAGTTGTTGAAGGATGTGTAAAATCTTACACTCAGTGTAGGCTCATAGTTTGTATATATTTGGTGTATTCCAACAATGTGATTGTTATTCTTTTAGAGAGAGAATATATGATGTTTATCCATCATACACCACCTTTAGAGTAGAATGTGATTAGGTGAGGTTTAATTTTCAGAATTGTGAAGGCAAGGTGTAAATAAATCCAGTAAGAAGCCAACCATAATGTTTTCTTTTCCCTGTTCTCATCCTTTGTAGGAGGGAAGTGTGGGTCTAATGAAGAGTCTTGAGAAGTTCAAACCGCAAGCTGGTTGCAGATTTGCTACCTATGCTTACTGGTGGATTAAGCAAAGCATTCGAAAGGCCATATTTCAACATTCCAGGACAATTCGTTTGCCGGTAAATTATGGTCTTCTTCTCTCTCTATTTTCTGTTTTAAGCAAGAAAACTGCCCGAAAATTTATACTCTTGGTGTCTTATGCTTAAAAACACTTTCCCCACATGTTAAATTATTGGCATATCAGCAATGCAGGGTTTACCCATGCCATTAAGAAAGGAGAAGTCTCAGTTTCAAAATTCCCCTTCCTCGGCATGCCAAACATAGCAAAGAAAAGTAGTTATACTTCTGTCAATTGTCTATATTTGTTGACAATTCTGTACTTCATAGTTCATACTAATATTGTGTAGGGACAATATCCCTTTGAGTTGTTGGAGTTATGTTTATTGAAGGCAAGCACATATTATTATCTCTGACAGATCCCATTTAATGTTCTCAGGAGAATGTATTTGGCCTCCTGAGCAAATTAACTGATGCAAGAAGATCCTGCATTCAAGAAGGAAACCATTGTCCATCCAAGGAAGAATTAGCTAGTCGTGTTGGAATAACAGTTGACAAATTAGAGAATTTGCTCATGACAACTAGGTTGCCACTTTCGATGCAACAACCTGTATGGTCAGATCAGAATACCACTTTTCAGGTAATGCATTCCTTTCACCCCTTATTATAAACTTTACAGGATTACATCTTCTCTCTGATTTATGGAATGTATAATTATTACTTCTTTATGCCTGCAGGAGGTAACTGCAGAGACAGGGATTGAGATCCCAGATGTTAGTGTGGCAAAACAATTGATGAGGCAGCATGTTCGAAATCTTTTAAGCGTGCTTAGTCCAAAAGAGAGAAGGATAATTAAGCTGAGATATGGCATAGAAGGAAGAAAACGAAATTCCCTGACCGAAATTGGGAACATGCTTGGGTTATCAAATGAGAGGGTGCGGCAGCTGGAGAACCGCGCATTATACAAACTCAGGCAGTGCCTCGGCAAGCATGGACTCAGTGCTTATGCAGATTTGCTTGTTTAGATTTAGGAACACAGGTATTGCAGTCCATTCCATCACATATCTTTCAAGTTTCTGTATGTATTAACTCAACATTCTTGTACGATGTACATGCCAATTAGCTGAGATCATTAATATAAGCCGATGATGTGGATTATGTTTGTATATATTCCTTGTAACTCTTATAAACTATAGCCAATAAAAAATAATAATGGTAATAGAGAATTAAATAAGAAAAACGTACTTTATCAATTGAATTACAAATTTATGTACAAAACTTAAACAAATTTAGTATGCTATTTATTGAATTTTCGGCTTGAAATGAAAAATATATACCTGAAATCAAAATTTGAAAATTTTCTCAATTTTTAAATCAATAAATAAGTTGGTGACCAAGTTGAAAATTGTAAAAGTTGGGCGACTAAAGTAAAAACAGGTTCATAGTTAACACACCCGCCCACCACCCCCACCACATCGGCACCACCACATCGGCACCACCACAACGGTCAGTGCGGAGGCGCTTCTACAAGTGGTGTGGTGGTGGGTATAGAGCGTGTGACGGTGTCAACCATGGCGACGCGGCGGCTCTTACTAGCATTCAAGAGATTCCTGCAGACAAGCCCTTCATCAATGTCGTCAAACCAAGAGCTCGCAGCAATGATCGTGAAAACACTGAAACTATCGGGCATTAAACCATTCGAAAATACGCCATCTTTGCTCTCCAATCTGAATTCTCGCGTAACCCACCTCGTCTTTTCAAACCCAAAACTCCCTCCTAAGTCTTGCATCCTTTTCTTCAAATTTCTCCAAGGAAACCAATCTCTAACTTCATCCAAACCTGGCCTCCATGCCCATTTGATCCTCGTTTTTAGATTATACAGAGCTCGAAGGTTTGCGGAAATGAGAAATGTGTTGAATTCTGTTGCCATGGATGATAGTCTCCGATGGTCTGTTGCGGATATGGTTTCCATGATTTGGGATAACTGGAATGAGCAGAAATTCGTTGAGAAGTTTTGTGATATTCTATTCAGGGTTTATGTGGATAACAAGATGTTTGATGATTCTGGTGGAGTTTTTGAGTATATGGTGAAGAGTGGGTTGAAGATTGATGAATGGTCGTGTCTTTCGTACCTGACTGCATTGAAGAAATGTGATAAAACAGAAGAGTGTTTGGGGTTTTTTAGAAGAATGGTTGAGAGTGGTATGGAGATTACAGTTTATTCAATGACTACTGCCATTGATGCATTGTGTAGGAAAGGAAGAGTTGAAGAGGCCATAGAGTTGATGAAGGAAATGGGTGGGCAAGGGATTAAACCAAATGTTGCTACCTATGCTACGATTCTACATGCATATGTCAAAAGAAAGGATTCTAAGCGTATTGATGAGGTCTTGAACTTGATGGAGAAGGACAAAGTGTGCCATGATGCAGTCACATATACACTTTTGATGAGTCACTATGCAGACTTTGGTCAAGTCAAAGATGCAGACAAACTGTTTGATGAAATGCGTGAAAGAGGGGTGAAGGTTGATATTCAAGTGTATACTACTATTATTAGCTGTCACTGTAAAGCAGGGAATTTGAAGAGAGCGTTTTCTTTGTTTGATGATCTGACTGAGAAAGGCTTTGTCCCTAATGCTTATGTTTATGGGGCTTTAATTGATGGCCTCTGCAAGGCTGGACAAGTGGAGGCAGCTGAGAAGTTGGTCATTGATATGCAAAGTCGTGGGATTGATTTAAATCCAGTGGTGTTCAATACACTTCTTGATGGGTACTGCAAAAGGGGGATGATAGATGAATCTTTGAAGCTGCAGGCTGTAATGCAGAAGAAAGGATTTGAGCCTGATGAGTTTGCTTATAACATAATTGCCAGTGGGATGTGTAAATTGAAACAGCATGATGAAGCAAAGAGGTTGTTGTTTGAGATGGTGGAGAAAGGCGTGGTTCTTAATTCAGTGAACATCACTACTTTGATTAGCATTTACAGCAGAGAAGGAAACTTTAACGAGGCAAACAGACTATTTAGGGAGATGAAAAGAAAGGGACAGAAGCCCAATGCTATAACATACAATACTCTAATTGGTGGATATACTAGGAAGGGGAAAATGAAGGAAGCTTATCAGCTAAAAGATGAGATGGAAAATGTGGGGATTATGCCAGATGAATATACATATACATCTCTTTTGCATGGTGAGTGCATTTGCAGAAAGATAGATGCAGCAATGAAACTGTTTAATGAAATGCCTCAAAGGGGTTTGGTTCCGAGTCTAGCCACCTACACAGCAATAATTTCTGGTTTGTCTAAGGAAGGGAGATCACATGAAGCTCATAGATTGTACAATCAGATGATCAGTGCAGGGCATATGCCTGATGAAAGAGTATATACTTCACTTGTGAGCAGCCTTCATACCTCTGGATCCCAATAGTTGTAGCTAGAGCCTGCAGATAATGCTCCACCAATACAGCAATAGTTTGGGCTTTGTCAAATGAAGGGAGATTAGATGAAGTGTTTCTCATACATTGTAAAATGAGATGATCATTCCAGATTCCAGTCCATACTCCTGTTGAAGGATTATTACTGAAATTTGATAGTTGTAGCTGGAGCCTGAGTTAATGCTTGTTCTGATTGTTCAGATGGTCCTTGGTCATTTGTCAACCATGTTACTCAATGTTTCAAAAAGTTATTTCACAAGATGAGGAGGAACCAAAAGTAACACAAGTAATTAATTTATGGATGTCTCATGGTTATCATTCCACAAGCCAGGCTATTCCAGGTTCTTATTGAAGGTATGGATGGTTCAATCAAGAAAACTAATGCTATGTAAGTTGGAGCTTTTGTTCAGCATTTTTAGCTTTTCCATCCTATCTAATTTGATCCCCTCTTTGCAGTTGACATCAACTGGTCCTAGGCCTTTGTAACATCAACAAGAGTTATCCTCTAGTCACCATTGAAGTATTGAAGTATTCAATCTTGGAGAGCAGAATACCTCTGATGAATGGGAACTCAACGGGTGTACACTAAAAAACCCTCAACAAGCTTTGATTCCGTCTTGTAATCAGGAGTATGGCAGGTAATGTTGTTTCCTCTGTAAACCATAGTCAAAACCCTCCTTTACCCTGTTTACAATAGTATTTCTTTGCAGTGTCATAATAAGATGATGAGTGGTGAAGGAAATATGGATACTGCTTTGGATTTTCGCAAGATTATCATTAACTCCTCATGACAGTGTGCAATTAGGAGCAAATTAAACCATAAAACAAAGATTTTATTATATTTGTTTAGTGAGGCAAACTTTCTTGTGACCTGCCTCAATCAAACCTTAGTCAACAAAGTAATTTTGAAATTACAAATAATGCTCAACAATTGATGCTTCCTATGATTAATAATAAATTTCTGGTGGACCGACTATTTCTTCCTTAAACATAGCAATATACCTAAGAATAATTAACCAACAAAACAAAAATGCTATATCTTAGATTCTTGGTCTCACTAAGTGGAAGGAAAATTATTATATAATAATAAAGTTGGAAATTCAAAAACATGTTAAGCATGTTTAGAGTTTGTTTTCCTTATCTGGAAATAATGGATTCAACCGAAGTTAGGATTAGGAATTGATGTTTGCGGAGAATGTACATTGTTTCCAATTTGTTTATTATTATGGTGAATATATGCCCTAAGAGCTATACAAGTCACCTTAACTTATGATAATCACCTACTTTAATATGTGCAAGCACTTCCCCCAACCCCAGTGATTGTTAACTAAACAATTATTTGATTTTAGTTAAAACCTCCTTTTCTAAGTATTAATTAAGCTGATACATTAATCCTACATTTTTAAACACATGGTTTAACTCACTAGCTATATATTTTATAAAAAAGTGTTGTACTATCTAGACTTCATCAGTCTAAAGGACACTTACTATTGATGGAGTTGGGTCCCCTAATGTTAAGGGGTTGTTCACCATTCAATGACCCCTAATTTACAATATGATAAAATTTAAATTGCAAAATAGGAAACTTTATATGTTAGGAGTATTAGCTTGTAAAGATTATATGTGCGTGGACCTTATAATCTTTGAAAAGCTGCTGAATTAACAATTTGTTGACTTCATCAATTCCACTAACTTCAACAATTTTGATGTACACATTAGAGATTATATTCATTTTATATTAAAAGAAAAAAAAGAGAAAAAACTGGACTAACATCCACACAAACTTCAATGCAGTGGAAGCTCAACATTTTCACTACACAGTGAAGATTACCCTCCCCACTTGTTTTAAATTTCAAACTTGAGATTAAATTTTCTCCAATATAACGATTCAAGTTTTTAACAGTTGAAAACTGGAGATACTACTCGAAAGCTTTCTTCCTTTTTTTCTCTTTTCTTTTTTTTTTTTAGTGAAGATCAGTAGATCACTGTTTTGGACATGGGGGAGAAAACAGGCCAATTTGAGTCATTATTAGGTTATCATGTTTCATCTGTCCCAATCACAATTAGGCCAACTCTTATTGTGCTGTTTACTCATGGCCGATCCCTAAGCAAGAGAGGCAGAGATAAAAGAGTGAGGACAAATTAATTAGTAGCTTAGCTTTTGGACATTATTTTCGAGGGCAAACCTTGGGTATATGCTTCTTGATCTAGCCTCTATCTCTATTTTCTATATATACATCAAAATAAACGAATTACAACGTCTCATGGAACGTAAATTAAGATTACCCTAGAACAAGTTTGATGCTATCTACTTATATCGTTTCTTTCCTAATCACAAAGTTACTAGGGTAAGTAAAGATGTGTGCTTAATTTTTTTAAATTTTTATATTTATTTATTTTACTGTCAAACCAACTTTAGGGCTAAACTACTACCATAAAAGAGACAAAATCACAACCTAGGGATTGGATCCACTTATTTCCAACCCTAGTAGGCAAGTGTTGTCTTGTAAATCAAATTCAAGATTCAAGTCTTAAGATCAATACTTAAAAAAATTAATTTTCTTAAATGTATTATGCCGATGTGGGGTGTGCCCTTAAGATTGCATAGAGAGGAAATTAATCTCAAGTTATGCAAAAACTAACCAAGGGACACCTTGATCATAAATACAAAAAAAAAAAAATACATTTAACTTTGGAATTTTTCAAGTTAAGAGTGTATTTATTGTACATTTTTCATTATAATTTGCATAAAAAAAAGTTGATTTAAGTTTTATCAACTATCTAATTAAATTATTCTACATAGCATTAGTGTTGAAAATAAAGTTTACTTTCATAATTTTCTATACAAATTAAAAGTAAAAATGTGCAATAAACACACCCTTAGCCCCTTGATTTTTCTTTTTTAACTTGGTATTAATCATCACTTGTTCAATTAGCTAGCTATGATCAACTTAGAATTAGGTTGTGTTTGAGATTATTGTGAAGTGTAGGACTTTTTAAATATTTTGTTATGAGAAAAATCATGTTATTGTTTGATGATTGTTTTAAAAAGTATTGTACATTAATATGATCACTAAATTATACAAAATATTAATTAAAATTATATTAATCACAATAAATTCATAGTTTTAGGAGGTGTTATGTGAGAAAGTGTTATAAGAAAGTAATCCCAAACACAGCCTTAATTTCAAGGTAAAATGTGGTTGGTAGAAAAAATATGCAAATAAGAATACAAACTTTGTTATTTTTTTCAATTTTAGAATATAAACTTTTTGGATTTCTAAATCAAGCGATAAACTTATATTTTTTAAAAAATAATGATAAGAACTTTATGTTTTTTTTATTTAAGAATTTATTAGATGATGACGATGGTCTGACAAATGGCCATTTTAATCAAAATAGGGTAAATTCATATCCTTAAATTTAAAAAAAAATGACAAAATTTGTATCATTGAATAGAAAAAAAATGAAAGTTTGCTACCTGATTTAGAAACTTAAAAAGCTCATATCCTTAAATAGAAAAAATAATAAAATTCATGTTCTTATCTGAACCTTTTCTCATAGTTAGTAAGGTGAAAATGGTCATTTAATTCACCTCCACTTATAGATTGATCACAAATCTTTACACTAAAAAATGTTATTAATCCGCTTAACCCCCATTTAGCCTTCTAACTTATAGATTTTAATATAATTGGCCCCCTATCTAAAAATTTAAGAGTATTAATCCCTCAAAAATATGATTAGAGGAATTCCTTATTAATTAACAGATTGAAAGTGTATACTGTTAATTAGATGTTATCCCTATCCTAGTCAACGACATATTAGTATCTCCATCTTATGTGACATGCCACCCTAGTGTGACCTTGAATTTTTATGTTAATTTTTCTCTTTTTTCATTTTTTTTTTATTTGGTATGATACTAGAGTAGAACCTATATTACATTAAGGGTTAGACATTATTTTTATCCTAATAAGTGACACATTAATATTTCTATTCTACATGGCATGCCACCCTAGTGTAAATAAAAAATATATGTATAATAAAAATTTATTATAAATTCTAATATAATAGGTTTTCAAATATATGTATAAATATTTAATAAATTTTAAATCAAGATATGAATAATTAATAAGTTAGATTTTAAAATTTTAAATTAATTTTTAATTAAATAAAATAATATTATTTAATATTAATACTCTTTTTTTTTAGTTAAGATTGATACGCAATTTTTGCTAATTATATTATTGTTGGTGCAAAATATATGGTACTGTGTATATTCAAGTCATAATTAATATTAGACTTAGGGTGTGTTTGGAATTGCGTTGAGAGCTTTTTCATATGATCATATAGCACTTTTA